GCTCATAAATTTAACAACCCCGCAGAAGCCGTTTCTGCATACAAGTGAAGTTGTTTGACCACACCTGTGGTCAATGTGGAGCTTCATGCCAGGACAAGTTGTAAAATGTTAGGTTATACCATAAACATACATTTTCGGATCAAAACCATTATGAAATTACTTGAACCCAACAGAAAACACCAAATAAACTTTAGACTTGAATCCAATGACGGCCCCAAAACATATCTAGAGACCAGTATAATAAAACCATTATGAAATTACCTGAAGTCTCGGTTACATTTTTAGTCAAGTTCAGTACGGAAAATGTCCATCTAGGACTAGGAATAGCATCAGATGATAACCTCTTTCCCCAGGGCATCGGTGTTAGGTGAAAATTCGATTTTGACTGTAACATGGTCCAAAAGTAGGGCAGAGCGGTTTCCTGCACACTTGAAACTCAAGCTGTTTAAAGCAGCGGTGACTAGGGTGGGCTCACGGCCTGAACACTCATCCCACACACACAGGCCTAGAGTTCATTGGGCTCAAGAGCACCTAGGAGGAGGCTGATCTGATCAAAGGTGCTGGTCACGGCCATTAGGCACAGCAATAAGGACCCAGCATGAAAAGGTTGTGATCTGAAAAGGGTTAGGAAAGAAAAGGAGAAAAAACAACATCAGGACCCTCTAAAGGAAGAAAGCAAACTGTGAAAAAATTGAAAAGGTACGTCAATCAACTACAAGCACCCAGTTGGACACAAGAGATTCCCAGGCTTTCACCCGAAGGGGCGACAGGCCAGAGAGGGCTGCTGGAGGGGGCAACCTGGGAAATTAAAGACCCTCTTTAAAAAGCACGTAAGGGAGGGAGTTCGCAGGAGAAACTTAGCTCCATCTTTCACCCTGTCGACCCCTTGCTTCTCTTTTAATTGATGTGGGTGGAACTCTGCTCTGTGTGACAAAAGCCGGGTCATTAATGAGACCTTGTCAGCTTCCAAATCTCAGGTAGGTAACAAAGGCCTTTTGGGAGCAAAGGGCCAGTTGAAGGAAACATAATTTTAGGAACCTCCTGACCTCCGCCCTAGCTTTCCTTATTACCAGCATCTACATCCCGCGTCCTCCACCAACTCCTCCTTCTGCTCCTCTCACCCGCCGATAATTCTGACAAAGGAATCGCTTTGAGAGCTCCTTCCTGCTTTTTTTTTTTTTTTTTTTAAATGATTTGCTTTCAATGTCAAAAAGGGCTGAATGATCTGAAGATGGGCTCACTTCCAGAAAGTAAAGGGTGGGAGATTAAGGCAAAAGTGAAAGAGTAAAAAGACTATGCAAAGGGCTTTCAGAGGTTACATGTGAGATGGGAAGAATGGGTAGTCAACACTTGACTAAGTCTGTAGAAATGAGGATTTCGCTTGTAATAGTTCAAGCAGCTTATTGCCATCTCCGGCCAAAACATGTCAAAGGTCAAGCGAGTTTCCCGAAGATGCGATGAAAACAAACTCGACGCTATTTATCTGAAATTATTCTCACCTACAACACTCACTGGCATCTTGCACAATTCTTTCATTAAAATGTAAAAAGAAAACAACTATTGGAGAAAAAGAAAATTCTCACATCAATTACTCACCTTTGTCGTTCCAAACCTGCAAGACTGTCGTTCATCTTCATCTTTCTGTCCCTTCATTGACAGCTACGCAACTACCGCTTTGACGCTTCAAAAAGAATGAAAGCCTAAATATGTTCATAAAGTGAGCGATTCTCTTCACACAACTTAGATATTTAAGATGAACGAGAGTCTTACGGGTTTGGAACGACATGAGGGTGAGTAATTAATGACAGAATAAAAATTTTGGGGTGAACTATCCCTTGAACTACACAATAAAATTGCCATATTACTTCACTGATATAATAGGTCTCACAGTTGTATGTGTTTGATGATTCATTTCATTTGAGTCATTCTGTCGAGATTTGGACTATAGTTGCATTGTAAAGATTGACCTTTGCAGTACTTTATTTCTTTCAAGGTTTTTAGGTTGTGTTGGACTGGGCATTTTCATGAAAATTTTAATTCCTTGAACACTCCACAGATCATGACCTTAGGACACAATAGAGGACATTTTCAAAGGGAATAAAGATTAATAAAGGTCCAACTTGGCTCTACAGGTGTTTGGTCATGCGTCAAGAACCTTAATAATTTCACCTAGACAAATCTGCACAGAATATCCATTGGATTTTCGCAACTGTGGTTCAGCTGAGGCTGGTTCAAATAATGGTAAAGAATAGACGTATCAACTTTATCATTTATATGATAATGATCTTTTTTTTTTAGAAAGATACCGTTTTTGTGCATTAAATAAAACCACTCTGAATCAGTTCTTTATTTAGGATGTTTTCCTGAATTGGACTTGACTCACACCTTTGAGCAGCTATAATGAAAATGAGAAGAAACTGCACTTACTTCAGACACCGGTGCTTTTCATTTGACTCGACAGTTGCTCATAAACTCAATGTGAGCTCCAATCATCTGGGAGACTGGCTGGATGTCTTATGAGCTGTTTGCACGCGTCCATCACCAAAGCTACCATGTTTGTAAACACGGCAAGGGAATAACATATTGACCTTCAAAGCACAAACATTATTGAATGAGGTGGCAGCTGTATACCTGAATGCGCTTATCTATCAGCATGTCCTTATGATATGTTACTATGTTACCCATATGAAGAAAGACGTTATTTACCACTTTATGTGCCTGTCAGCTGTACTAGACTTCTCATGTATGCCAAGTGAATTTCTTATAATTTTCAAATTTTTCTTTTAATAATCTATTTTTTTCTAGCATTTTCTAAGTTGTTACATTTAAGTTACACACACACACACACACACACACACACACACACACACACACACACACACACACACACACACACACACACACACACACACACACACACACACACACACACACACACACACACACACACACACACACACACACACACACACACACACACACTTTTCTAAGTTGTTATATAGGGACATTAAGTTGGTGCAGTATCTTCCATCTTATCAGTGTCAGTGATTTACAGTCATTTCCAAACCCATTGGAAATGACATACGGTCCAGGATATTACTCTATCAATACATTTTCTATTCCATGTTCCAAGCTTCCATTTTCTGATAGAACAGTGTTTTTTATCATAATAAAAGATGTATTATTCAACAAGTACATTCATCCCAGGATGTGCCACAAAGTTGCGGACGATAATTAGTCAATGAGTTTAAACTGGAAGAAATGGCTGTTGAGAAATGACTACACCTGCTCAAACCTGACGGCGAGAGTTTATTCAGTCACAGCTGAAAAGCTTTAACCAGGATCCCAAACCCAATTTCTTCGGTCTGCCACCTGCAACACATGTGTTCAACAGAACTGCCTTCCTGTGTGTTTTTTTTGTGTGTGTGTGTTCATTTCCCAACTGGCACTAGGTCAACATCTCATTCAGCACCTTGATGTGTTACAGTGTTTACAGTCCAAAGCCAACAGCTGATTTGTCTGCACCGTTTCCTCTTGCAGTATTAGAGAGGCACCCCAGCTGACACCAAATGGTTTGGAGCGTTTTGTCTTTTTTCCCCCCCTTTTAAGCTGCTTTTTATGAGCCTTAAAAAGTAATGGATGCTCTGGAGAGATAACATCAGACATTAAGAAGTATGTGATGTAATGGAGAGGAACACTCTCAGAAAGCATTCAAGTCTTTTTCACAGATTTTCAGGACAATCTCAGGTCATCTCCAAAACAATCTGTTCTATTGTCACGACAAAAGCACCAGCCTCCATTTCAGAGCAAAAACAGCATTAGAAGAACTTTGCTTGATGGACATCCTACCATAATCAATCTGAAACTAAATTGCCAGATCATAAAAAAATTATTGCTTAGATATATAATCAAATACGTGAAATGTTTGTGAGAGACTCCATTGAGTGTGCATGTTGAAAAATACATCGAAACTTAAAAATAATGGGAAAACAGCAGTGGATTGCAAAAATGCATTCAGTAAAAGGCCCCTTAAACTCTGTCTCAAACATTTTTCTTTAGATTGTGACAAAAAGACAAAAAATGTCATGACAATTTGTAACTATTTTGATTTGTTGCAAATTCATATAAAATCTTAAGACCTCATTTGTACGTTTTCGTACGTTCTCGCCTATGGTTCTCGCCCAACTGAGGTATGTTTTTGGGTGGGTTATGGATTAAGCTTAATACTTGTTTTTAGAGAGAGATTAGAAATAGTTTGTCATTCAAGCCATATACAGGTATATACAAATCATACAGTTTCACTAATCACAACAATTCGTACACAATAGCACACTTAAAAAGTAGCTAAATCTTCTCATGAGTTGAGGTTGAAAATGTTTATTCACTTGAGTTTGCATGTGTAAACATATTGGCAATACCAAGCTAAAGTGTTTTTTTATGCAACATAAATATATTTACATTTTGAAAACCCTATATTTGACCAAAATTGTTTCCTATTTTGTCATTCTTGTGAGCAAACAACAGAAAAGACATGCATGATCAACCTAAAATGAATCAAACTGTCAGCTACAATTGGCAAGTACATCTGAAATCAGTTGTATTTGTCAAAAATAAAATGCGTTAACTTACTTGCAACTTATATACGTATAAAGTTACGTTATTATACGTAACATGTTACCCCCAAAACTGGCCATAACATCAGTCTAGCATTTTTGTTGTTTTCTACACTTTCGGTCATTATGCCATAAGTGCCAATTTTTTTTTTTTTTTTTTTTTTTTTTTAAACATGTCTGGAAAGGTTGTTCTTCGGGGATTCACAAAGAGCATCATTCAAACTGGCCTATTGTAGTGTGTCCTGTTTTTTCTTGTCCTGGGAGGAAACAAACCCCATCCCTTGAGCATATGGATGCCTGTGTTCTAATCAGTAATGATAGAGTGGCTTTTGATGGAGAAACTCACCCTTTCTAAACCAGACTTCTGTTCCTTTTTCCCCTCCTCAGGTCTGATGGAAATCCGATCTGTCAGTGTGGGAGTTGTCGCCATCAAATCTGTCAGCACCGGCCTGTACTTAGCTATGTCCAAAAAGGGAACACTCTTCGGATCGGTAGGTACATCGAATGACAGTGTTTCAGCATCTTTTAGTATTAGCGTTTTTGTGAATCACAGAAATCTGAAACACGTGGGTCATCCAGTGAATATCCAGCAATTGATATTTGGACTTTTAATACTGTAATTGAACTCAGACTAGGTCATTACAGGAATCTGCGGTCTCTTACTGTTTTTGTGAAGATAGTGCGTGCCACCAGACAGTTGTTTGTGGCTTGTTTAATGAAGACGCCCCATTGCATGGTGCATTTTAACTGCACTCTGAGAAATCTCACCCTGGCAATCTGTCACCAGCCATGATAAGATGGCTTACAGATGGCTATATCTGTCCTCCGATCCCCAGAGTAAACATGACAAACCTTGGGAATCACTCGAGGCCTAAGCACCCTTCTTTTCTTACTCTTTTGAATGATTATTATTAGTCACATTCACTCATTCCACAGTGATCTTATCGGACTGTAGGTTAAAGCTGCCTCGATCGGTACTCTAAGTGTTATTGTCATCATCCTTTTTGTCCTTTTCAAGTTAATAGCTTTATCCAGCTGTGGCAGAGGGGCAAAGCTCATTTGGCTTCGTCAGGCAGCTTTTTGAGCCCATGCGAGACGGTGATGGTTGATTTACAATGACAGGCTGGTTGAGATAAATACAAATGCGTAATGGGTACACAATGGGATGTTTGGGATATTACTCACTCTCAGATTTACCTAGGACATAAACACATTTTCTGGATTTGGGCATCCAAATGTAATTCTTCAACAAAATGGCTGACCTGAATATTGGGGTGTGGGTCCTAGTGAAAAAAAAAACCTACCAAAATACATTTCACACTTAGTACAAATCCATTAACATATTTACTGACAAATCGCTTGAAACTTACTGATAAATATTATAATTAAACTTTATTTGGAGTAATTCTTTATTGCACAATGCACATTTCTTAATACTAAGCCTAACATGTGTTTTAATGTCATTATTAGTAAGGATAGTATTATCACTGTATAATATCAGTCTTTACATGCAAGATGCAGTATAGTTCCATTTTAGCACAATAACATATATTTGGTTGAACCACAGCACTACTTCCAGATAACGTCTCGGTTACATATGGTAACCCTCGTTCCCTGAGGGAGGGAACGGAGACGTAGGTCAGACTGACCAATAGGAATCTCGCTAGAGAGGCCAATCTACTTCGAGTGAAACTAAAACAAGCCAATGCACATTGGCATGCAATCATTTGCATCAGCTGCGCGTCCTCGTCAGCGCGGGTATTTAACAGCAGCTGTTATGATTGCACACTAGTTTTTTGCTGAGGAGCCAAACCTGAAAAAGCTGGCCGCCCCAGCGGGCGGCAGCAGATGTGGCGACGGGACCTACGTCTCCGTTCCCTCCCTCAGGGAACGAGGGTTACCATATGTAACCGAGACGTTCCCTATCGGTCAGTCACTACAACGTAGGTCAGACTGACCAATAGGAATCCCTACCAAAGCGCCACAGCTGCTGCACCCCATCCAGCGCCCCATGCAAGCCTCTACACCTTCTTGCCTAGAAGGACGATAGGAGGAGGCTACACACAGAGTGTATCTGTCACTGTTGTTCCGTAATAACCCATACAGTGAGATTATTGGATAACACTGGGAAAGCGTGCCCTTCAGTTAGGAAGGAGGACGCTGCGGAAGCCACTTACTTCAAGGAGTTATGTGGGGAATACATATGGACTAGCCCGAAGGCTGTACTACATATGAGATAGTGGGTGACTTAGCCCAAGGGAAAGACACGGGCTTCCGTTAGGAGCAGCCGTGGAAAATATACACATATGGGATCCCCGTAGGGTCACACATATGGAACCCAGCCCAGATCCGGTTCTCAAGGATTCAGCGGATAAAGGCCTGGCACCTGGACGCTCCGCCATGTCCGGGCCGAGGGGTTTTTGGAGGACTCAACAGGTTTTTCACTCTGGAGCAATAAGGGTGCACAGTAGGGTGCAGCAAGCCGACAGAGCCGGGCCTCTCGGTGCTTCTACCCGTTTAGGGTGAGAACACGGGAGGAGACCGGCTCTACACGTAGGCTATAATATCTAGCGAACGTGTTAGGTGTCGCCCAGCCCGCAGCTCTACAGATATCTGTTAGCGAGGAGCCACGTGCCAGCGCCCAGGAGGATGCAACGCCTCTCGTGGAGTGTGCATGCAACCTGAGCGGGCAGGGCACGCCTTGAGCTTGGTAAGCCAAGGCGATGGCATCCACTATCCAGTGGGCCATCCTCTGCTTGGAGACAGCCTTTCCCCTCTGCTGGCCTCCGTAACAGACAAAGAGCTGGTCTGAGGTCCTGATGCTTTGAGTTCTGTCCACGTACATACGCAGAGCGCGAACGGGACAGAGCAAAGCCAGGGCTGGGTCTGCCTCCTCCAAAGGCAGCGCTTGCAGGTTCACTACCTGGTCTTTGAAGGGAGTGGTAGGAACCTTGGGCACATAGCCAGGCCGGGGTCTTAATACCACATGGTTGTCACCCGGCCCGAACTCTAGGCACGATTCGTCGACCGAAAATGCGTGCAGGTCTCCTACCCTCTTGACAGAGGCCAGTGCAACCAGTAGCAAAGTCTTCATGGAAAGAAGCTTTAAGTCTACTGACTGCAGAGGCTCAAAGGGAACATCCTGAAGTGCTCGAAGCACCAGGGAAAGATCCCAAGAGGGTATGGAGGGGGGTCGAGGAGGATTTAATCGTCTCGCCCCCCTAAGAAACCTGACGACCAGGTCGTGCTTCCCCACTGTTTTGCCATCTATGTGGTCGTGATAAGCTGAAATAGCGGCAGCATGTACTTTGAGGGTGGAGGGAGACAGCCTTCGCTCCAACCCTTGCTGCAAGAAGGAAAGCACAGACCCTATCGAACATCTCCGGGGGTCTTCTCGGCGAGAAGAACACCACTCGACGAACAGGGTCCACTTCAGGGCGTAAACACGTCTCGTGGACGGCGCCCGTGCTGAAGTGATGGTGTTAAGTACCTCAGGGGGTAAGTCACCTAGAACCTCCGCGTCCCGTCCAGGGACCAGACATGGAGTTTCCAGAGGTCTGGACGCGGGTGCCATAGGGTGCCCCGTCTCTGAGTCAGAAGATCCTTCCTCAGAGGAATGGGCCAGGGAGGGACTGTCCCAAGGAGCATGAGTTCTGGGAACCAAGTCCGGGTGGGCCAATAGGGAGCCACCAGAAGGACCTGCTCCTCGTCCTTCCTGACTTTGCACAGTGTCTGTGCAAGTAGGCTCACTGGGGGAAACGCATATTTGCGGAGGCCCCGGGGCCAGCTGTGTGCCAGTGCGTCCGTGCCGAGTGTTCCCTCGGTCAGGGAGTAAAACAGCTGGCAGTGGGAGGTCTCTGAAGAGGCAAACAGGTCTACCTGAGCCTCTCCGAACTCTCTCCAGATCAGCTGAACCACCTGGGGGTGGAGTCGCCATTCTCCCGGAAGCACAGCTCGTGATAGCTCGTCGGCCACACGGTTGAGCACGCCAGGGACATACATGGCTCGAAGCGACCTCAGACGCTTCTGACTCCAGAGGAGGAGATGGCGGGCGAGTTGCGACATGCGACGGGAGCGTAGACCACCTTGTCGGTTGATGTACGCAACGGTTGCTGTGTTGTCCGTACGGACCAGTACGCCCCTGCCCTGTAGCGACCTTTTCAAGCGGCTCAGAGCGAGATGTACTGCTAGCAACTCGAGGCAATTGATGTGCCAATGCAGTTGGGGAGCCGTCCACACCCCTGACACTGCATGCCCGTTGTACGTGGCACCCCAGCCGGTGGCGGAGGCATCTGTGAAAACCACAGCATGCCTGGAGACCTGTTCCAAGGGGACTCCTGCCCGAAGGAACGAGAGGTCTGACCACGGGCTGAAGGTCTGGCGGCAGGCCGGTGTGATTGCCACCCGGTGAGTGCCATGATGCCACGCCCATCTCGGGACTCGGCCGTGAAGCCAGTGCTGAAGCGGTCTCATATGAAGCAAGCCGAGCGGAGTTACCGCTGCTGCCGCTGCCATATGCCCCAGGAGCCTCTGAAAAAATTTCAGTGGGACCGCTGTCCTGCCTTTGAACGTGTTCAAGCAGTTCAGCACCGACTGAGCGCGCTGCTCTGTGAGGCGCGCTGTCTGTGCGACCGAATCCAACTCCATACCGAGAAAAGAGATCCTCTGCACAGGGGCGAGTTTGCTCTTTTCCCAGTTGACCTGAAGGCCCAACTGGCTGAGGTGCGTGAGCACGAGGTCCCTGTGTTCGCATAACTGATCTTGAGAGTGTGCTAGTATAAGCCAGTCGTCGAGATAGTTGAGGAGGCGAACGCCCTGTTCTCTCATGGGAACAAGGGCCCCCTCCGTGACTTTCGTGAAGACACGGGGAGACAGGGACAGCCCGAAGGGCAGGACCTTGTACTGATATGCTCGACCCTCGAACGCAAAGCGCAGAAACGGTCTGTGTCGAGGAAGAATCGAGACATGAAAGTACGCGTCCTTCAGGTCGATCGCTGCAAACCAATCTTGGGGACGGATGCATCCGAAAATGCGTCTCTGCGTGAGCATTTTGAACGGTAGCTTGTGGAGGCTCCGATTCAAAACTCGCAGATCCAAGATCGGTCGTAACCCACCACCTTTCTTGGGTACAATGAAGTAGGGACTGTAGTGCCCTGACCCCATATCGGCTGGAGGGACCGGCTCTATCGCGTCCTTCGCCAGTAGGACTGCAATCTCCGCACGCAAGACATGGGCATCGGCTGCTCTCACTGTAGTGGAGTGGATGGCCCGAAACTTGGGGGGACGCCGGGCGAACTGAATCGCATAGCCGAGCCTGATGGTCCGAATGAGCCAGCGAGACGGACTGGGGAGCGCTAACCAGGCTCTCAGAGACCGTGCAAGCGGGACCAAAGGGACTGTAGGCGTAGCCGGAGTGGGGCAGCGAGGTGGAACACAGGGACGTGGCTCGGGAGGCTCTCTCTGGGAGGCGGCCCGTAGCAGGGTCTGTGTGTGCTGTGCAGCACTTACCTGGTTCCACGGGGCAGGAGGTGCAGGAGGCGGCTCGGTGGCGTTCTCGAACTGCACACTGCTGCTCACTGGCGACAGAGGAGGCGGATGAGAGTGGTGAGGATTCTGTCCCCCCACTGCTCTCCGGGTCCTCTTCGGACCCAGAGATGGTAGAAACTGCTCTTTTATTGAAAATTTGGGTACCGCTGGTTTTAAGGCCAGCGGCGGAACAAAACGAAACACAGGATTTTCCACCCGGCCCTCTTCCGGGGGAAAGTCTCCTGGAGAGCAGTCCCTTCCATCTCCGGGTCGCCCGTCCTGGGGCCGCTTACCTCTGGCTTTGCCACCCTTCTTGGCGGGGGCCTGGACGGGCGGGGCGGCCTGCCTGCGACTGGCTCCACGGCCAGGTGGAGGCTGCAGCGCGGGAGCAGGGGCAGACGCAGGAGGACGCCCCCGGCGACGAGCAGACTGAGGAGCCGCAGGCGGTGGGTTGGAGGCAGCAGCTGACCGCCGCGGCAGGATATGCTTGATGGCCTCAGTCTGCTTTTGTACAGCCGAGAACTGCTGGGCGAAGTTCTCGACCGCGTCGCCGAAGAGGCCGGTCTGGGACACGGGGGAGTTGAGGAACCGGAGCTTCTCAGCCTCACTCATGTCTGCCAGACACAGCCAGAGATGGCGCTCCTGGACCACCAAGGTGGACATCGCATGACCCACTGACCGCGCGGTGACCTTCGTCGCACGAAGCGCGAGGTCCGTTGCGGCACGAAGTTCCTGGAGAACTTGTGGATCATGACCACCCTCGTGCAGGTCCTTCAGTGCCTTGGCCTGATGGACCTGCAGCAACGCCATGGCGTGCATGGCAGAGGCAGCTTCCCCACAGGCCTTGTAAGCCTCGTCGAATAGGTCCGACGAGTACCTACAGGCCCGGGAAGGAAGACACGGTTCTCCGCGCCGAGTGGAGTTAGGGCACAGCTGCATTGCTCCATCAAGGGTGGTGAGGGAGGAGGAGCCACCGGAACGGTTTCTGGCAGTAAAAGGTGCCGTCCACATTCCCGTAAGCTCCTCATGCACTTCCGGGAAGAAAGGCACTGGGGTGGGTTGCTGAGAACCAGCACGCGCCACCCCGAGATACCAATCATCCAACCTCGAGGGTTCGGGACACGGTGGAGGATTCCACACGAGCCCGACCCCGTTGGCGGCCCGGGAGAGCATGGCCATCATCTCCGGGTCCGTCTCAGGCACCGCTGGCACCCCCGAAGGAGGCAGCGGTGCCGAGTCGTCGTCCGCAGAGAAGTCTGACCCACCCTCCAATGCAGCGATCGACATCTGGTCACTGGGAGCCCCAAAGGAGACAACCGGTACACACCTCGAGGATGGTCCAGCTTTCTCCAATGGAAGCTCAACTGGCTGCGGAGCATGAGAGGGGTGAGGGCTCCTAGGGGGTTGGTTCCCCGAAGGAGACGCGCTCACCGTGATCCTCAGGTCACCCGTGCCCCCGCCCGAAGCAACCCTCCGAGGAGGATTGGAACGAGGCAGAGGCACGGGGACTCCGCCCCTTTGCAGGAACAGGAGTCTCGACCGTAGCTCCGCGATGGTCATCTTCCCACAATGGGTACATGACTCATCCACAAACGCTGCCTCAGCGTGTTCAATGCCCAGACACACGAGGCAGCGCTTGTGACCATCCTGTGAGCCCAGGTAACGACCGCATCCAGAAACACACAGATAGAAAGTCATCTTTTTTTTCTTTTTTTTTTTTTTTTTTAAAGACGCTGTCTATCTGTGTAAGCTCTTTTAGGGACTACTCTCACTGGTGCTGAAGCACGCAGGGGAACAGTCACTGCGAACACAGACGGGAATGTGCACCCGTCTGTGCGCTGTCTCTCTCTCTCGCTGGCAGGTCTTACCGGCTGTGAGAACAGCCTTTGAGCGCTGAACTGCGCACCTTACCAGCTGTTAAAACAGCTTTTTTGAATTTGCTCAAAAAAACAAAACAAAAAAGACAGACAGAAGAGAGAGGACACAAGACTGCTCGCGCTGCCGTGCTGTAACGCCCGCACCGAACAAGGAGAGATCCAACGAAGGCTTGCCAAGTTTCACACTCTGTAGGATTACCATGAAGCGTTTGGCTCCGAAGCAAAAAGCTAGTGTGCAATCATAACAGCTGCTGTTAAATACCCGCGCTGACGAGGACGCGCAGCTGATGCAAATGATTGCATGCCAATGTGCATTGGCTTGTTTTAGTTTCACTCGAAGTAGATTGGCCTCTCTAGCGAGATTCCTATTGGTCAGTCTGACCTACGTTGTAGTGACTGACCGATAGGGAACTAAAGTGGGTTAAGTACAAAATTAGTTGTTCCAATTTGGCAGACTTTAAGTAGGCCTATAGCAATTTTTGCATTATATAAAAAATAAGTTATTATTGTTGGTGTTAATAATAAAAGTATTAATAGGCTATATATATATTTTTTTTAAATAAAAATATATTTCACAATTGAAAATGTATTGTCTTGCCATTTAAAGTACATTTTGCAGTATTTATTTTTTATATATATATAAAAAAAATGATATATACAGTATGTAAACATTTTTTCAAATGTTTTCATATATATATATATATATATATATATATATATATAAAGCCGAAAATGTTTGCTGTTTACAACATATATTTAGCATATATTTGAAATCTATTATGTCCAGATAATGCCTTAATAAAAAGGACCTCTTGCTACTAAAAAACATAGGCAAATCCAGTGATTAGTAGGTCAATCAGCAGATTTGCAGATTTGAATCAATTAAATTACATAGTATTTTAGTCCTTAAAGTAAAAAATAACATGATGAAATTTAGCCACATTTTAAAGAATATTTCTGTGAAAGGACAACTAAAACAATAAAATAAATAACTGCATGTCTTAAAACTACAGTAAATATGTTGATGCTGTCAACAAGTAACTCATCCTGAAATCTTCATTTGACCAAATTCAGGTCAGATACAACCCCAGCTGCAAGTTCAAAGAGCGCATCGAAGAGAACGGCTATAACACCTACGCCTCCCTGCGCTGGAAGCACCGGGGGAGGCAGATGTTCGTGTCGCTGAACGGCCGAGGGAAACCCCGCAGAGGACACAAAGCTAGACGGAGACACCCATCTACTCATTTCCTCCCTATGCTGCCCACATAGCTGGACTCTTCCTCATGAGCAATGCTGTGCCATCTGCATTTGATGGGGACTTATTAAATGTTATTAAATTCTTCTGTTTTGTTTTTCTGAGTACTGTCGCACAGTACATTAACTTATTACTCTGTCTTCTGGCTCAGCTTAAGACCCAGTAATGTTTAAAGCAATGCTGTTAATATGATGTACAGGTTATGTATTAATGTTGTTGTTGAGTTAAAGGTTGTGTAGGTTAGAATTTTTTTTAAAAAAAAATTCCAAATTTGTTTAGACTTTCTATATATATCAATGCATAATTAAAATCTAAGTACTCTGAAAAAGAAAGTATAAAAATCGAGTGTCTGTAGACCTCTCACGACTGTTTTAAAGACAGCTCATTATTTACATTCACTTCACCCCCTCCCTTCTGGTCTCCTTCCAAAGCCACACCCCCAAAACACATGAACGCGCGACTCCGACCGCTGAGCTGAAGACGCATTATTTACCTGAGACGAGCGAAGAGTAGAGGAACGAGTGCATGTAGTGACATCATGTCAGACACACATGTAAATAAAAAAATCTAACTTTATCATTATGAAGTTAAACAAATAAGTTGTATTTTATTACTCACTATCAAAGTAGCATATTGATATTGGTAAACTTTACAATATATATTTATTGATTCGCTAACGAGCTAGTTATCTATAAGGCAAAGCTAAACACAGGTTGCGTGATACACGTTGTTCCATTGCCATAATTTACACTGTGATGTAGATGAATTTCGTGTAAGATTTATAACATATATATGATGTTATGCATGTAAGAGTTTGCTTGATGAAAGCATAGTTGATTCTGATGAGGACTACACTCCCGAGACAAGTACCACATCGTCAGCTCGAGGACAGAACCGTGGTCGAGGGCGAAGCAGAGGAGGTCGTGCAAGAGGTCGTGCTACTAGGGTCAGAGGAAGTAGAGGCCGAGGACGGGCTGGTCGAAGTGCAGGACAAGGTGCACTTCTTGGACAAGAGGACCTGAGTCGAGTTTTGCATCTTCAAGCACAAACAAGGGCATGTGAACAGGTAGGCTATATATGATGTGGAGTGTAATGTACACAAGTCATCTCAGAGAACAATAAAGCTATATATAAATAAAATCAAAAATTGAATCATGTTGACATATGTTTTGTGTAATTTCATGAATATTTTCTTTTTTTTTTATATATATATATATTTTATGATTATATATTCCATTGCAGGCCAGAATTCGAGGACTGAGCCTGGAACAAGCACACCAAGTCCTGGAGCTCTGCCTGACGCGTGACCCAAGTCTTATGTTTGATGTTCTGGAAAGGATGTCTGAAAATGCTCCTCCACCAGGCCCTCTTGTGTCAGGGCAACCCCCTTGGTGTGTCTGCCAGCGGTGCAGAGGAATGGCCACATTTGTCGAACAAAAGTGCTGTGGACAACATCCTGATTATTGTATTTCCATACTGCCACACATGGAAGCCTACATTTTGGAAGAGGGTGTTCTGCGCCTTGCCAGACGTATCTGGAATGACATTCGTGCATTGACTGATAATCCTGAACCAGGACAAAGTAATAGACAGTTCCGTCACGCAGCATACAGGCAATTTGTAGTGTGGCAGTATGGAGCATTGGGACAGGGTCACAGAGTCGTGATACCAAGTTGCTGCGTCTGGAAGATACGTGACCGTTATCCTGATCCACTGCAACAGTACAGAGGTTTTATTCCCAGTAGAGTCTAAGAGTCTAGAGTGCTTTTGAAAACTGTCAATCTATTGTTTTGTCGAATACATGTACATAGTTTTTGTTTTGTACGTTTTATATTATAAAAATATTGTTATGTTTTAGTTTGGTTGACTATTTTCTTTTCTTTTTAAATAAATTTTATTATTGAAAATTACACTTGCAATAGAAAACGTTTTATTACAAAACTACATTTATGTATTTCTTTCTGCAATAACGACAACCAAATGTAGAATGTCACTTTTTGATTTCTGTATTATAAAACGCATAAACTATATCACAAATATAAAAAACATTAGCACAATCAAAAACAACTATATAAAATGAAAGAAGACAATGAAGTGTTTCCAGAAGGAATCTTGATTGGAAGACGGGTGAGACTTGGGATGTAGCATCACACCAGCTATTGTCCTGTGGCGATTATTCATTTTTCCGGCAGCGATTGACCTATACAAAGAACATAATAATTATCGATCTGGCATGATTACCCCATTTCAAAATCAAACACATTAGTAAAGTTAAATATCTAATATATTAGGGGAGAATAGTTTTATTTGATTGCGTTTTTAGTCTACATTTGTCTTGGATGAAAAAGTCACCCACGTGATATTTGGATAGTAGCATTACTTTTATATAACCATTTCATATTCTAATAACTCTTTCTGAGTTAGATAAGTTACAGTTAAAATTATGTTATATGTAATGTTGTAATTTAAATTAACATTTTATCTATGTTTCAATAAATACATATAACATATAGGTACCAGTATTTAAATAACTCACCTAAACCTCTGCTGACTTGAATTTGCAATAGCTCCTGTGTTGATGGAGCAGGTGCACCAGACAGTAAGCCATGTTGACGGGGATCATCAGGTCTCCTGGTTCTTCTTCTGGGCATCCCCTTATTAGATGATATCCGTCGATGGAGGATGGCACGCTGTAGTTCAGAGATGTAGCTGTAGTCCTTATCCACCTTTAATGAGCACAACCTCCACTTCCTGGACTTTTTGTTGTACAGCTTGACATACCTGACAATATAGAAAGGTGTACTAGCTTAGTAAAATGTTTTAAATTTCATGTTCATTTTTGAAAAGAATTCAAAACTTACTGAATTGTGCCATCAGCTTTTCTCCTGGCTGGTCTATGGAGATGATGGTTGTAGTCTAGGCCAGCCAGCATGGTACGAGCATGATAAACTGGAGGGGAAAAGCTGAAGCGCTTGCTGGCATACATCAGTATGTGGTTATGAAACGACTCCAAATCTGCAGTTGACCTGAGTGCACAGTAGACAAACATACATACAAGATATTTTCTTTATAACAATGTAGTTCATGTAAAATCAACGACAATTACAGTAAAATGACTTTCACATAGTTGATTTCACCATTTACAATATAGAACTATATGAAGCAGCTTATGTACCTGAAATTCAGAAATTTGGGGACGACCTTCAACCAGCGTTCATCGAGAATAATTTCAGCCAGCCTGTCATGTGCCACTGAACCATTCTCAATCAATTCTTTGTCTCTGCTGTCCTGCAAGGGGCCATGTTTACACTCACCAAGAGCCCACGTGTGTTCTCCTGTGACATGGTGCAGGATTCCCACCCACATGTCCTGTTGGAAAACATTTACAACCTGATTGCAAATTCTAATTGCATAAAGAAGTAACAACAAGAGTTTACACAAACAGCATAACATTTTTTTCTTTTTATATTTTAATAGTGATCAACTAAAGCATTATATATGTAATTGAAGGCAAAAAATAATAACAAATACCCAAAATATGTCACTATATTTGTACAATACATACCCAGTATAATTTATTTCTTTTTCAAAACAATACACCAAAACGGGTGATTACATATGTTAGTTTAGTTTATGTAAACATATGCTTTCAATTTCTTATGTTTCTAAATATTTAAACTGTAAAAAAATAGATAAAAAAAGAAAATACTCACAATAAACTCCTCATAGGTATCTGCCGTTTTACAGCAGTACCAGAAGTGGTTGCAGATGTCTTTATTCCACATCTGGAGAATGGCACACCCCTTTTGCTGTCCTGCCTGGATGCATAAACAATTATTCTTTTCTGTTAGGTAAACTATGATTATGTCAACAGGATTAAAAATACATAAAATTATTTAAATAATAAATAAATAGGTATAGAAGGGAGTTGGTGTGTAAGATTATATTGTGATCAGATGAAATGCAATTAGTGATGGTGATTTATTATACTTACAGCATGAATTTTTTTGCACAAGTTTTTGGACCCATGCCAGACATCCAGAGTGTGGTGAACTCCGCTGTCTCTGTATTTCCCTTTGTCTGGAGGACAAATGCTAAGAATTAATTGCATACTCAAAATAACTCAAAACAATATCATGTCATTACCAGATTGATGAATTTTGTCTGCGATGAGTGCAGACATTTTTAATGATTTACAAAAACCATAAAGACAATAATAAAGAATTTTACTGAAGAGAGCTGATATTTGGGAATGAGCATCGGTGCAAATTTCAGCCAGATTTATTTCTTGACGGAGTGCCTCGAAGGTCTGTTGAAAGCCCTCTTTCTCCATTACAACAGAGTTCCTCTGTGTCTCCCTCTTGTCGATGTTGACCATACTGATGATCTGTTTTGTTTCATTATCCATTGTAGAATATGTGCAATACTGTGCACAGAATCCAGGACTGTCCATCCGAGCATCACCTTTTATACGGAAAAGTAAAAGAGCTCAATCTATTTTGTTCAACAATGACATAATCATTTTATACATACTGTAAATAACTGCATAAAATCACTGGGCAACCATTGATGAGATTTGCTCTTTATAATGCATGTATCTTTTACTAATTTACTACAGATTTTGTGAAACAAACAACATGAAAAAAACAACACAAAAAACATCAAAGTGTCTCTTTCCAGTTTGCAAAATGTTGTTTAGTTAAAGTTATTTCCAATATAGGATTTTTTTTTTACCTTTACAGTGTTGCCAATTGTCATTGGCTCACACTGCCATCCTTTGAGTCAATAGGGTCACATGAGGCAAGGTGTAAAAATTGGGTTATACATACAAATCTGAGGATCTCATTCTACACGGTTTAGCCATCATTCACACATTGCCTCTTGTAATTGCATTGTAGATCAAGGACCGTCCAGTGAAATATTCAGTACTCCGTTTTAATAGATATCCTGTTTATTTTTAGTGTGTATATGAATTTACCTAAAGCCACAATAGGCCCTTTGGACTGTAGCTGGGCAATGATTTCAGTTCTCTTCTCCTTCCAAAATTCCTTTATGGTGTCCACACAGTAGGAGTCTTGTATTCG